TTGTCAGTTATCTGCAATTCTGGATTACATAAAATGGATCCTCATCATAATCATTTTGGCATTCAGTTGACAGATGAGGTAAGACAGCAGACTTTAGGTTGTCATGGCACTGAGTGTTTGCTGGGATGTGATACTACAATGTAGTTTGCACCCTAAGCACTTTCTTCTACACTGAAGAAAGAGGCAGCAGGTTCCTCCAAGGTGGTACTTATCTAAAAATCTACAAGGTTTGGAACTTTAATAGTGGCAACACTGCTGTAGAGACCCCATGCAAGAGAACCAAATAATGTCACTTGCACCACACGTTAGTTACATACCTACCTTACCTCAGAGCAAATGGACTCTCCCTTCCACATCACGTGCATGAGCAGTGACCAGAAGAACAGAGCTTCGTGTTAGCTGGTGGTCTAATGTAGTCTTGTCACGATGTTTTTGAAACAGGAACAACATTGTTGGATAAAGATTGAATGTGCCAGAGGCCATACAGCATGACAGTGTCATCAAGGTCTTCAAGAGGCTTGCAGGGAATCTGCATTGCCTTTCAGAACAGTGGCAAGTTGGGTAAAAGCTTTCAATGAGGGACACCAAAATGTGGCAGACATGCGTCGGCACAGATCGTCCCAGTGTCAGTGAAGAAGAAGTGTATGGTCTTTCCACGTTACTGGAGAGTGATCAACGCCATATGATTCGTGAACTGGCCCAAGAGACAGGATTAGCGCATACAACCGTGCTTCACATTCTGAAGGAACGCCTGAGCATGAGAAAAATTGCATCATGATGGGTTCCGCGTGATTTGACGGAAATGCAGAAATGGCAAGCTGTGGCTGATTTCTTCGATTGATGGGACTGGGAAGTGCTGTACCATCCACCATACTCCCCAGACTTAAGCCCTTGTGACTTCGACTTGATTCCTAAGATGAAGGAACAACTTCGTGGCATTCACTTCAGAACTGTTCCAGAGATTCTTCAGGAAGTAGACTATTCCATTGAAACTATCAACACAACAGGCACTTCCACATTGCTGGCAATGGGTTGTACACACTGCTGGTGACTACGCTGAAGGACAGTAGAACTTCGAAACATGCATCTATTTTGTATCTGTTGTAAATAAACAGTTGCCACTATTAAAGTTCCAACCCGCATACATGCCATCATATCTCAGAAGACTAATCAGAATTCCAACACTGTTTACTTTTATGGTTGAACTTGTTCATTTTCTAAATAAATACAGACATACAGATCTAACTTGTATATATACGAGTATACACAGCTCAACCAATCTGTATCACTTGTTATTCACCCATTAATCCCTGATGATGTAGAGAGAGACCATCTATAAACTATTGTACTGACAAGGCGAATTGCCCAAAAATTTGTCATTGACTAGTTCAGTAATGTAAACTTCTGATGAACCAGTGAGAATATATATTAAATATGGACACAGACCAGGCATTGATCTCCAGTACCACACCCATCATGATGAAACATACAAACATGCAGGTGGAGGGACATTACCTCAGCATAAGTAATTTTTTTTCATTTTATGCAGCATGGGCAGAATCCCTCAAAAGTATATGATTTTCATGTGCAAATATTTGTCATGTGACATGTTACTGTTTGTAGATGCACATTTTCTTGGAATATAATTCTCACCTTAAGATCTAAAAGTTTATGATGATGGTACACTGCTACAAGTATTTTGTTTTTGGACATTATTCACCATCCTGCCTGTTCTTCAAAACACAATGTTTCGGAGACTGGATGCTGTCCCCCTTCTCAGGTAAAACCTACTCATTTGGGTCCAATATACAGAGCTTGACGCTGATCATTCTGAGCCCTTATTTATTTGGATGATTATAGATGACCATGAAATTTATTTCTAATTAATTCTCGGTAATTTTAATTTCAAAAGTCTTATTTTTTGATATTACTGGAACTTTATTGTGATCTATAATATCGTATTTCATTGTCTGGGACATGCAATACAGTGTTTATGTTGAAACTTCTAGATTCTGGCAGGACCAAGGAGTCCAGAGTTCTGACATTTACGAGCAGTCATAAATTTAGCTCGGGTGCAGGGAACTGGACGCGCCTAAAAGGAAGGTCAATGAGAAGGACAGGTCAGAGCTTGTTACAGTTGCCTGTGAATGAGGGCCATTATGGTTGAGTTGCCTCATTCAAACTTCCTTAGGGAAGATGGGATAACATGTATATGTCCACACCATGGAGACTTCGAATTCTTTCGAATTCCCGGCGTGGGGTGTGCAAGCCATTCCACAAAGGAGACTTTCACCATATTCCGAAGTGAACGGACGTGACCCTTGCACGCTCAGAGACATAGCTTGCAGATATAACTTAAAGCATAAGAATACATTAAATTAACAGTGTGATTTGGAGAACAAAAAGGTGAATAAACGTCAATTGGATCAACTCCCAGAATACTGCTTTCTTCGGCATCGCTACCCTGAGACTCATGCAAACCGACCCAGCTAGTTTCCCGTACCTATACCGATCTTCCTTAGTTTGATCTGTGAGGACAACTTGCAGTGGCCATCATACACTGTCCTAAGGTAGAAACAGGTGTAGCAGGGATAGCACCATTCCGACTGAGCTGACATAAACAAAGGCTGGTTGGAAAAAAGCGGTGTTAAGCTAGTCCCTATCTCCAGACTTCTGGAGACCCTTGGCAGTTATCATTCCACCAATGTTCTATACTCATCTATCACCAGGGGCTGACACAATAGGCCCATTTGTGGCTGCAGTATGAAGAGACTCTGTCTCACCCCAATCTTAAACAAAGATGGAACTCTGTATCCCAGTGTATGCTATCAGAATGCTTTCAACTATATGTGCAGGGAGCAGACATTTTCAAAGCAAAAGTAAACATAGAAGTTCAGTGGGCATCAGAACCAGTCATTGCTGCCATCGAGAGAAATGGAGGTGTTATTACAACAGCTTATTATGATGTTCACAGTCTTTGGGCTGTAATCAATCCTAAAAATTTTTTCAATAAAGGTAAGTTGCAGTAATGAAATAAATTATTAGCAGATTATGCACCATATTCCTGTGACCATTATCTTATACATAAAGGCCAGTTAAGGTTTGTGCTCACAGTGGATATACCTCGTGTCTGACAGACAGCGTTAACATGTACTTTGTAGCTAAAAAAAGGCTTGAAGGAAGAGGGTGGGGAATGAAGTTATAAATGAAATGAGTACCCAAGAGAATACATCTGTCTATTCCCTAAAATGTCACAGCTTCATAATGGAATATCCAAAGATTTCTTACAAGAAAATGTTAATGTAGTCTGATCTTTGTGTTGGTGTGTGAATTTCCATGAATTTTTAACATGCATTATGCACTAGCTGCCACATATCAGCCAAAAGATTACTGCCTGATCAATACAATGTAACTTACTTTACTCCACAGAAGAGCTCTGAAAACCAGATAAGATGGTGCTCCGTTTCATGAATTGCATGATTTTCTATTTACATAGTAAGCCAATATGGGGCCAAAGTACCACACTCCAGCTAACTGTCTCCTATATTCCTCCTTTTGGAATACACATACATTCAATCAATGTTTAGTAGGCCCAGACAGCATTTGCCAATGCAACACAGCAGAACAGTATTACAAGCAATACGATGTGAACTAACTCCACAGAGCTGAGTCACTCTTGAGAAATTAACAGCTGCTCAGCTACTCATGGAACTTGAAGATTTATCACCATGTTCCCAACAGCCCATCACTGGACCATATCGTGAGCCAGCCAGATCCAGTCCACATCCTCACACAATTTCTTTCACACTGATTTTAGAATTATCCCCCATCTATGCCAAGACCCCCCAAAAGTGTCTTCACCTTGTCGTGGTGGTGGGGCTTGCATAACTCCGTGACCTGGAGACCTATGCCAGTTGTAGTCTAACTACCAGTAGGGTCACCAATGCCAGAAAGGTCACAGGGTAGGGTAGGGTCCAGACTAAGAGAGAGACCCTGGTCCTTCAGGTTGGGGGTTGGACATGAGGCTAAGAACCTCATCCTGTAAAAAGAATTTTGTTCAGAGAGGCACAGTTCAGATATCTGGGAACAGCGATAACAGATCGAAACCTGATTCAGGAGGAAATTAAGAGATGACTGAACTCTGGTAATGCTTGCTACCATTAAGTCCAGAACCTTTTGTCTTCTTGTCTGTTGTCCAAAAACATAAAAATTAGAATATACAAAACTATAATTTTGCCTGTGGTTCTGTATGGGTGTGAAACTTGGTCTCTGACATTAAGGGAGGAACATAGACTGAAGGTGTTTGACAACAGGGTGTTGAGGAGAATATTTGGACTGAAGAGAGATGAAGTGACAGGAGGTTGGAGAAAACTGCATAATGAGGAGCTTCATAACTTGTACTCTTCTCCAAGTATAATTAGAATGATCAAGTCAAGTAGGATGAGGTGGGCAGGTCATGTAGCACGAATGGGGGAGAAGAGGAATGCGTACAGGGTATTTGTGGGAAAGCCAGAAGAAAAGAGATCACCGGGAAGACCAAGGCGTAGGTGGGTGGACAATATTAGAATGGATTTTAAGAGATAGGATGGGATGGGATGGATTGGATAGATCTGGCTCAGGACAGGGACCAGTGGAGGGGTCTTGTGCACACAGTAGTGAACCTTTGGGTTCGATAACATGCTGGTAAATTCTTGAGTAGCTGCAGAATTGGCAGCTCCTCCAGAAGGGCTCAGCTCCATGAGTAAGTAAGTAAGCCTAATGACCAGCCTCGGGTCATCATGCGTGGATCCTTTCCTATGGCAGCACGCTTTGGTTGTGGAGACTGTCTGTAGAGGAGGCCAAGGCTCATGTCTGTAGCACCAAGTGGTATGTAGGTGGGTGGGTGGGCTTGTTGATTGGTAGGTAGGTATCTACCTTGCAAGAAGTCACTTCTCGTCATTCTCGCCTACTTCTGCACACATTTCTGATCTCTCCCATGTGTGCTACATGTTCCACCCATCTCATGTCTTTGATTTAATCATCCTAGTAAATGATATTTTACCATGAAATGTGCACCATCTACATTTTACATATAATAGTAATAACCTCAATGAAGAAGGCACTGAGTTTCCGATTTTGGGATATGTACATGAACATTACATATCTGATGTACTCCATTTATATGCTTCCTCCTCAACTGCTCTGCGTGAACTCTGTCGTTCAAACCACTGTCTTTCATAGCCATTGGAACGATCAACACCATCCCACCTGTGCCCAGGTGGAATACCAAATCGATTTGGCAGGAAGGTACCTTGGTACTTAAGTTTACCTGAAATGCAAGAAATACATATTGTGGCATACAGAGCCATTGCGAGGCAAAGACCGTGAAACAAACAAGTCAACAACCTTTGCTAGGCAGCAGATTGTTAATAACTAAGAACAGACAACCACTGGTAGGGAACAGCTTGGCAAATACACTCCCATGGCAACAAATATGGACGTAACAATAGAGGAGTTCTATTTTCTGCACTGTCCATGCTGATTAGTTAAGCTGACAGCTTAGTTGTGTAGTATTAACCAGTGAGCAAAGATCAGCGCAGAAGCTAAAGAACAGCCACTGTTAAAATCCATTACCGTGAGATGTCTAGCGAAGACACCGCAGGCTGGAGAAGACTTGGCGTGTAGTGATTCATAAAGTGTGGAAATCAATATTAGTGTTACAGTTACTTGTAGTTATGACCTATAAGTGGTCAATAAATCCATTCATCCAATCCAAACCCCATCTATAGTCACCCCTAAATCATGACAATAGTACAAAGTTGCCTTCTAATTTTAAGTCATCTCAAGTTTCCAGTGATATACTGTTATCCCATTAACACACACTGCAGACAGAGGCAACAGGTTTCTCTGTACATTAATAACCATTTCTCAAACTACATGATACCATAATCCAGAAGACCATATTCTTAATGGTTACTACTGTGGAAACCTTAACACAGTGAGAGCAAATATCTGCATGACATGTAGAGGAGAGCAATGCAGGGCTCCTAGCAACAGACTGTGAAGGGCACACAACAGGAACAGTACATCCTCAAGGGATCAAGACCTGAGGTGTGAAGTATGGTGTCACAGTGATCTCCAATAGTATAATAATCAAACAAAGTTTTTCGAAATTCAGCGAAACAGTTCAAGAGCTAAAATAAGGAAACGTGCACACACACAGACACATACGCAGGCATTATGATGTAAAATGCCTATTTTATTTCCTTAAGAAGAGAAAAAGTATGCTACACAGGTGAGTCAAATGAAAACCTTAAATATTTTTTGAATATTATTTATTGTGCACAAGTGGTACAAATCTGTATCACTTTTCAACATAATCTCCCCCACCCTCAATGCAAGTCCTCCAGGGCTTACAAAGTGCATGAATTCCTTTAGAAAAAAATTCTTTAGGTTGTCCGCGCATCCGCTCATGCACCCCGTGGCGTACCTCTTCATCAGAACGGAACGTCTTTCCTCCCATTGCTTCTTTGAGCGGTCCAAACATATGCAAATCACTTGGGGCAAGGTCTGGTGAGTATGCCAGATGAGGAAGACACTCAAAATGCAGGTCATTGATTGTCGCAACTGTTGTACGGACAGTATGGGGCCTTGCATTGTCATGTTGCAAAAGGATACCTGTGGGCAGCAATCCACGTTGCTTTGATTTGATTGCAGGCCAAAGATGATTTTTTAGGAGATCTGAGTATGATGCACTGGTGACAGTGGTCCCTCTAGGCATGTAGTGCTCCAAGATGATGCCTTTTTCATCCCAAAAGAGTCAGCATAACCTTCCCTGCTGATGACTGTGTTCAAAAATTCTTCGGTTTTGGAGATGAGGAATGGCGCCATTCCTTGCTCACTCTCTTTGTTTCAGGTTGGTGGAAGTGAACCCAGGTTTCGTCCCCAGTAACGATTCTTGCAAGGAAGTCATCACCTTCTCGTTCAAAGCCCCGCAGAAGTTCTTCACAAGCATCAATATGTTGGTTTTCAATTCAGGAGTCAGCTGCTGTGGCACCCATTTTGCAGACACTTTGTGAAACTGGAGCACATCGTGCACAGTGTGGTGTGCTGAACCATGACTAATGTTTAAACTTGCTGCAATTACACTCAATGTCACTCAGCGGTTTTCCCTCACTATGGCTTCAACTGCTGCAGTGTTCTCTGGAGTCACAACTCGATGTGCCTGACCTGGACGAGGAGCATCTTCCACTGAAGTCACACCATTTGCAAACTTCCTACTCCATTCGTACACTTGCTGCTGTGACAGACATGCATCACCATACTGAAACTTCATTCTTCGATAAATTTCAGTACATTTCACACCTTCACTATACAAAAACCGAATAACAGAACGCTGTTCTTCCCTGGTGCAAGTCTCAAGTGGGGCAGCCATCTTATACTGGTGCTGTGACGGTGTTTGTGCATCTGGACTATGCTGCAACCTACAGGCCATTCTGCATGCTGTTTGTAGCACGCTTACCAACTTACAGGATAATGGCGCGAAATTTCGATTTTTATTACAAATTTAAGGTTTTCATTTGACTCACCCTCGTACGAATTATACTAAACTTAAAACTAAGGAAAAATGAGAGCACTTCCTCACTTTTTGTTTTTTCTTCTGTCTTTTTGCTACGTATATATTCCAACATGGGATCCCCTTCACGTTCCTGGTTACGCAGATGTTGCTCCAAGTCTTTGTCGTCTGCATATCGAGCTAATGGCTTTGATATCTCGTGTAGGGCCTGCTGCAAATTTTCTTTCTGCTCCTCTACCTGTTTCAACCTAAAACATTTAATTTAATTATTGTTTAATGTATTAAGAAGTGAAACAGGCACACGTTATTCAACAAAGGGGGACAAAAGAGAGACTCAGCACTAATCCCAAACACCATGGTGACCACACCTGGTTACACAGACATTCCACAAACTCAAACTGTACTATCTCCACCACCTGCTACGGTTCCTCTTGGATCCTCTTATGAAATCCCATAAGATACTGAAATACAAGCTCTCATCTCCTAGGGCCACTGAACAAACCGAGCACTATCATTCAACCAGATGTCCAGATTTTACTCAACCATATTTATTCTTTCTGGAAATAGATCTACTGCTGCACATACACCTTGGCAAGAAAAGTGGTAGACAGTTCAAGATGGCAGTTACCATACCAAAGCAATGGCCACAGACAACTCTGCATGAACACAGGGGCTGCAAGAGCAAATAGGTTGGTGCCCAGTTTGCTTAGCAGTTCCAGGAAATGAGATCTTGTGTTTTGGAACATACGTTACTCTGTGAAAGGTTTCATCAGGAACGTTCCTGGGAGATGTTGACAATACACTTCAAGAGTATGGAACATCTAGGATGCAATTGGTATGATGTCGGGGATCAATGATGGATCTTCCTCTCCATTCTTCTTTGCTGAATAAAATGTGTGCCTTTCTCACACTTTAATGGATTATGCAACATGCTGAAATACACTGCACACTAACTGGCACTGTGTGAATAGTACATATAACATAATGAAGACTGTAGTAATGCTGCCACTTAAGTGTGTGTGTGTGTGTGTGTGTGTGTGTGTGGGTGGGTGGGCTAACTAATACGGGTTTTACAGTGAGTCATGCAATCCTTGCCAAAACTTTGACATCCCCCAAAACTGAACTTTTGGCTCCATCCCAGTTACTTTCTGTCCATGGAATCAATTCACAGTCAGCACCCCATCTAGAACTCTGACAGGAAAAGAAGCTTTCTACCAGCATAAGAGTATACGTCTTCACAGGCTGGAGTGAGGGGTCTGAACTTGTGTCAGGTTTAGTATGATCGCCATTATAACAGCAGATTTCAGCTTTCATTTTAATATCATGAAGATACTACGAAGTCCACAGTGAACTGTAGCAATTGGCTTGACTATGTATACATACCCTTTACCCCATTTTGCATATTTCTCTTTACGTTGTGCCATTTTTTCATCTTGTTCTTGCTTCTGTTTCGCTTCTTCCTCCAAGTTCCGACACTTGCCAGTTGTACGATCTCGCACCACAACCACAGCTCCTTTCCCTGATATTTCATCACCCATCTATAAATGACAGAGACACATTGCAAGAGTTTGAAACAAAGCAATAAGCCAGAAACAAACAGAAATGATCACCTCAAATCTCAATTTACAGGTAGTCAGCAGAATGGCGTCTTCCTAAATTAATACAGAAATGCAAGAGACTCCAGTTGTTTTATTCATTTATAATACATTTAATGATTCTTCTATAGACTATATGCAGAGATGTACCAGTAAGGAAAAAGCAGAGGGTATACCATACAGGAAAGTAAAGCTTCAACAGGTGATCCTCAACCTTTTTTAAGAGGAAATAACATTATTATAATATTATGGCATGAGAAAATGTATGAGTTACTTTGAAGTTTCTTGAAAATTTAATTTGAATTATATTTTAGTAATGTATACAAAATAATTTAAAATAATAAGTACAGTACTGCATATTTTGTCACATCAAAACAAAGGCACTATTAGACTGCTTACATTAAACCTCTTCTTAGAATAGTATGAACTAAAGAATAAAATTTGAACTTCCCAGAAAATTCTCCTGGATTTCAGGAAGAAAAGAATCTTTTGGGAAAACAACATACTTAAGCAATCCAATTAGCCAACCCAGTTTGGACATATCTCCTATCTGGATACCCCTCATCAGCAATGAGGTTTCTAACTCACAGAGAAGATCAGTATGGCGTGACAGATTCTTCATGCGTTTCCATAAGGTTCCAGTCTCAAGTGTTTAAGTTACTCCACAGATGGCACTAGTGATAGATATTACATGTCTTCACAACTGTTTCCCATTTCTTCACATTGGTGCTCATGCACTTGGATTTTGTCAGCTATGTTTCTAACACAAATTTCTACCTCCTTTTCTATCCTAGTTCCACGCATGTGCATGCTATATCACAATTGTTATTTTATGGTTTCTTGTTATTTCCCACTGAACTAGCCTAGTCTTATATGTTGAAATAGCTGGGTAAATGTAGCAGCAGTTGTCCAGGGGTTGAGATAAGCTCTTTCGAAAGGGCCCAAGTGAATAGGTGTCTTCCTTTCTCACCTGAAGATTGAAACAGATCCAGTTTCTGAAACATCATGTCCTCTATTACCTAGAATTCTGGATGAAGGAAAAAGTCCAAAAACCCAGTAATTCTGTATATCAATGCTTGCCATACAACATACTTACAAACTTTAGCAAATAATGAGAAAGAACCTAAGAAGCCAGTCATATATAGGTTGAACCACTTGGCACATTATCACCTCAAATAACTCCTTTATTACCCACTGCATCAGGAAAAGACTCAGACAAAGTCTGCATGGTTTCAATGCTGTCACACTGTGTATGAAAGTGATTATCTGTATTTTGCATTTTTTATGAGATATTAAGGTTGACTTCATTATTTGAAATAGAACATGATTATCTTTCAAACCAATAATACTTGTAGGGCAGATAAATATAAATCCTGTGGGCATAAATTTAGTACCATTCTGATGAACCATTCATGCAATACTGCAACTGAAAATACAAGACCAACTGTGCTGCAGACTAACTTTTCCAATCTGGCAAAGCAGTGGGCATAGTGGTTCATGCTCATAAAGTTTGAGTTGCAGTACCACACAAATGGTTCGCTGGAATGGTACCCAATTTATGTTCATTGGATTTGTATTGACTTGCTCTACAATTCTGTGGAAGTGAAAAAATCATTTTATTTAAAAAAAAACGAAAGCTGACCATGATATCTTGTAAAAAGTGATAATAAAAATTATCTGCTTCACACATTATGTGTAACAACTGAAGCCACAAAAATTTTATCTGAAGCATTTCCTGATCTGATGGTCAATAAAGAAGCGATCTGAGGTGATAATGCTATGTGGTTCTCCAGACTTGGGTATAACCACTGTACAGTGAAAACGTGTCACTATCATGTGAGCCATGCATACGTTCATGCTTATTTTTGCATGGCTCAGAAAGTTCCCCTTTATGACCAGCATCCTCTCCTTCATCCCTCCCCCCACCTGAAGCAACCATGCTATGACTCATTGACTGTTATCCCATTATTCCATGTGTCACGTGATTTCCCTATCTCCATGATTTGGAAAGGATGACCTCCAAATGAGGACCAATAAGAGCAGTCTTTTGCTTGCCATCTGTCGACATGAGAGACTGATAATGCTCCCCATCAGTTGGTACAAGAAAATAAATCTGCCACTACTTCATCTTGCATGCAAGGCTGATATTATAACGTGGATCCAAAATAATAAACTCTGAACTGATCCAAGATTAACAGGAAATGAATGCCTGCTAATTGAGAGGATTATACAGACCACAATCTATTTATACTGTGGGCAGGAAAATGGTTCTGCTGTGCTGTGAAATTCTCCGCAGAACTTTTATGAAACTCAAGGCACCAAATCTGTATGCCTAGAATTCGAGCATTACATTATTATGTAAGAGCATGGAAATATATAGACTTAAAGCCTTAGATGCAGAGCAACAGTTTCTAAAAGTGAACAACTGCATAAACATGGCCAAGTTAGGCAGAAACATGTACCAACTGATATGATTTTAATGTTATTTTAAATTAAAGAGAAACTGTAAACAGTTTTAAGTTGCATTAAAGATGAAGATGAATGAGTGATACATCTGTTCAACAGAATGCTCAAATATAATACATATTACAATAATACTAACCAGAGCAAACAAATCATCTTCTCTGCGTTTGAAGTCTGATATCTCTTGTCTAAGCTCTCCAGCAACTTGTAAACCAGCTTTTTTGCCATCCAATGTCTTCTCCATTTTCCCTTTCATTTTATCCCGTCTGTCTTGATGTACATTTTTATTTTCGACTTTCCCTCTTCCTTCAGAATCACTTTTCTTTGGAGAATTCCTTGACCTTTTAGAAATCCTCTGTGGTGAGTTATCAGAGAAACTGTTCTCGGAATGTGCACGGCCTCCTGATTTTCTTGGAGGTGAATCAGGCAAGCTCTGATGCCTGCCTTTACTGACTGGTGACTCACTTCTATTATGGTGTCTTGAGGGTGAAACAGATTCCATTACAAGTGAACAATCTTTATTTTGTTTGTTGGACTCTTTGAAGCCTCCCTGTTTTGATCTTACTGGAAGTGATCCATGCTGTTCATATTTACGAGCTGTACCATGATGACTAGAATCGCTGTTCCTTGATGTTTTGAGGGATGATGATGCTCTTGAACTATCTTTTCTTGACTGCAAAGATGGTGAACCATAATGTCTTGGAATCTTCCTAGGAGGTGACGTATCTGAATCACTGCGCCTTCTTTGATCTCTGTTTGTCTTACCGCCATGTTTCCTTGAATTTCTCAGATGCGTCTCATCATACCCTTCTGACTTTCTCGATTTTCTTGGTGGTGATGAATCAGAATGGTATTTATTTTTTCTTGGAGATGATATGCCATGTTTTGTGCTTCTCTGTGTTGATGTGGGTTTTCCTGCTTCATGTTTACCTTTTCTAGCAGGAGATAAGTTACTGTCATGCTTACTTTTCCTAACAGGTGACAAATCCATATCACAGTTACTCCTCCTGACTGCAGACAAACTTGTGTCACCTTTGCTTCTCCTGACTGGTGACAGGTCCCTTTTACTTTTTTCTTTTCTAAGTGGAGACACTTCTGAATCGCTACTCTTAGGAGAGAATGCTGGACCATTTTTATGCTTCCATGGAGGTGAGGAATCAGAATCATTTTCTTTCCTGTTTTTTCCCTTCATCTGTAACTTTCTTGGAGGGGAAATATCTGACTCGCTACGTATCCTTGATTTCCTAGGGGGTGATGCATCTGAGTCACCTTGACATTTCCTCATAGGCGAAGACTCTGAATCAGGATGTTTGTTGGATGCCTTTTTACTTTCTTTAGCAGAATCACATCTTCTCTGTGGAGATAAGTCTGACTTTCCATGATTTCTCAATGATCCTGTAACTACTTGCTTGTCTACATTTCCTACAGCAGTTACTTTAATATCTTCTGCTCCATTTTCATCAGACATTATTCTCCATTTCCTGGTTCCACGAAATTCCTCAAGTGTCCGCATATACTCCGGGCGTTCATCAATAATCCCCGCAATCTGTGGTGCATCTTCTGATAGATGGTACAAATCTAATTCACCTTCATCAAGTGGTCGCATATTCTTTAAATCTATGTCATCATCCACTACACGAAACCTTCAAGAAAAAATATGTTCTTTTAGAAATGATGCCCTTCATATATACACAAATTTCTTTTTAATGGTATACCAATACATTTTTTAAATATCATGATATGTGCACATAAGAGTCTGTTGCTCTCAAATGTAGCAGGCATGGATTACCAACAAAATAGTGGTGCTGGAGAAGTTCCAAAGATGGCTGGCAGATAGAAATATTAACATTATATTGCTATAAATTACAGAAGTAAAGACATATAAGAAGGTTTCGTATCAATGTAAAGTAATTATGACCTAATGAACTATTTTTGTACCATATGACAGCCCTAAATCACTGAAACACATGAATTGGTGGAATCTGTTGTAAACTATTTAACTTCATGGAGCTGAGCCCTTCTTGAGAAGCCGCCAGTTCTGTAGCTATTCACGAACTTCTCAGCAATCTACGGAAACTGCAAGTTCAATACCGTGTTCATAAGAGCCTTCCACTGGTCCCTATCCTGAGCCAGATTAATACAGTCCATACTGCCCCATCTTATCTCTCTAAGATCCATTTTAATATTACTCACCCACTGTTTTGGTGTTCCTAGTGGTCTCCTTCCTTCTGGCTTTCCTACAAATGTCCTAGATGCAGGGCTTGAGGTGGGGCGGGATGCGGCGGGATGGCATCCCGGTTCTTTTCTAAATGGCTTAAAAGCATCCCGTTAATTCTTTGGCAGTAAATGCAATGTACAATACCTTTTTTGTTGTTGTTGTTATTATCTGTTTCATGGCTATACAGGCTACTCCCCTGCATCGTCTAACTAATTTTTGCTTTCGTGTGGTACTGTTTGAAGCACCCGAGAATGCACAGTCCCACATCACATTTCTCACACTTCGTCTGAACACGTTTCCTCTTTCCACATGCAGAACAAACACGGCATTTCATTCTCATGGCACAAGAGGTCGGCCAGTGATGTCGATTGGCCTCCTCTAGACGAAATATTGTGGATGACAGAGCAGGAGGTCGACCTAATGGGCGTTGTGGTTGGGAGCGACACATTACAGCATGTTCCAGCATGTTGCGCATAAGGGTAAGACGAAAGTCCCTATGTGACAGTTTCGCACCGCAGGATGATAGCAGGATGATAGCAGGATGATAGCAGGATGAAACTGTTCAGAATCGTCAGATCCAGTAAATGGAAGATGCTTGTTTGGCAGCAATAAGGGTTTTTCAAAGAAAGTAGGGGGCAGGCAATTTTCCTTTGGATCAACTTCCGCCAAATACCCTGAATAAGCTGAGAAACTTATGAAGATAGAAATATATAGGCTTATGGCCAGCACACTTTTATGGCATGGGGTTTCTGCTAACAAGCCCAAGTGTTACAAACAGGAAAGATTTTATACTGCAGAACTGTTGTGTGTAGGAGCGGAAAAATTTTATACTGCAGAACTGCTGTGTGAAGAATTTTTTAGTTAATTCCACTCATTTATCATAAAAATTGTATTAGATAGAGCAATTCCAAATACAACGCTCAAGCGCTCTAAGTGGAACTGGCATTTAAATGTAGAGCAGAAACGTGGATTTCAACCCCTGCAAGCAGCGGGCATTTAAATAAACCCCGGTCAGCTAGCTTTACCTGCGTTTCAAAACTCCGGTGGTTAAAGGTTAAGGAAAGATTCATTTTCGTTTCTTAAGACCGATAATAAATTATACAATGTTGGAAACAGTTTGCCCTTCTCTTGCCTTGCATCCCAATGCGGAGGTGGCCTGTCTCCAACAAAAGAGTTGTTTACAACAAAATTTTACGTTTTTCTATTGTTGATGTCACGTCTGAATTCTTAGTTATTTTACTGAAAATGAAAACACAATATCTTGGCAGAAAATGAGGTACACATTTCCTACTCCCTCCTACTTCATTGGACAGAAATAAATTTGGTGTTGAAATAGCATAGTCGGCAAACTACAAATACAGTTATGA